AACCACTTCTGAAGATGCAAGCCACTCGTGCTTGCGAAACGTCAAGAAGAAATTCTACCGAACGACGACTAAAAAACTAATTAGTTTCAAGGAATGGCCTCGAAAGTCTATCTCTTTTGATGGGACTAAAAGTTCTATATGTACACGGCAACCAGGGGGCAAAGTAATGCTAAACTTACCGAATGCTGGGTTGTGCCACCTGGAAGGAAAGAGGAAAATGCGTTTTATACAGCAGGAAGTCTGTCAAAAGCCAAACTTATTTGAAATCGGCAAAGCAAAGAGAGAGGAATATAAAGAATCCATAAAACTTCGGTTGCTGCCGGAAAACGAAACTCAGTTCAAGCTAAAAGATTTGTAGATTAGAGATCATTCTTGCCAGGTTCCTGCAAGCTGGCGCCCTATCCTCAATCAGTTCACTACAGTTTCACTACCGCACTGCCCATAAGGGCCTGAATAATTCTATATTTCCCGTCTAAGAGCGCGATTTCATCCACTGTCGACATCAAATTGATCAAACTTTTCGAAAAAATAGACACCGAACTACAGAATAAACATGATTATTTAATCTTTCGAGAATTATTCAAAATTTGCAATGGAGCTCAATTTTATTATCTTCTAGTTACGAACATTTGCGTTCTTTTTGTATTATATTTTTTCCAATCTCCTCTGTCTCTATCCAGTGCTCCAGCTCAATCTGATATTGAGAAATGGCGGAAAAGTGGCAGAATGCATAACATTTTGGCCTAATCTTCTTATCATATTCAAATTTCGTCTTTTGACGTGAAACTCGTGAAATGAGCGGCACCTGACTGACTTTCCGAGTGTTTTTGGTACATTTTCTATTAAGTTTCTCTTAAATATCGGTGATTTTCGATTATATTATCTCGTCTGGTTTGAAAGAAAACTTAATCGCACCGAACAAAAAAAAATCAAATTTCACCCATAAAGTGCAATTCTCAATCTTCTATACAAAGGATAAAAATCTCTTTCTGAGCTCTCAGGAATTCCCTGAAAAGTAAGTTTGGGCGAAGACAACCCTGTGGCGCTGGCGAGGGCGAGAAATTTAAGAGAAATCAATGAAACAACCCGGAGTTTTCCCAAATTGCGTCCTCCATAGCGACGCTGACTCATTCTTGGGCCCAAGTTGAATAAATTCGATTGTCTACCGAACAATTTGCCATTAAAGTGAGCGTTTTTTTGAGTTTAACAATCGCGTCCTTTGCTCACTCTGCTTGGCCTAGTTTTACACAGCAAGTCCTAAGAAAAGGTTTTGGAAATTGGTGCTGGAAGGGAAAACTTCACTAGAAACACGCTTTCAGTTCAGGTAATTGAAACTTAACGCAATCGGTTATCGTGCAATATTCAAGTGGTCTTTTCAGTGATTTGCTCTAATTGTTAACTCTATGTTAGTGTTAAGTTTACTTGATTGGCTGCTTTCTATTATATCAATCAATCGACTTAGGGGCCATGGAAAGTGGAATTTTAAGTGTAACTCGAACCGTTTGTATAAAAATTCGAATGTGTACATAAATGTTTGTGTGTTGCATGGATTTTGACATGCTTTTGTGTGTACGTATTTTTAGGAGCACTTGCCCACATTTAGCTTTAAACCGCATGGTTTTTATACGTTTTTACTCGATTTTTAACTGCCTACTTAATCTTATTGTAATTCACATCAGATTTTATTTAATAAATTTTTAATACTGTCGCTCTTTTTTTTAACTTTAACATTCTTTACTTTATGTGCTAACCATAACCAGTATGAAATTGAATAGGACCTCAGCCCCAAACTACTACAATTGATAGTAGGTGGGCGAGTTCCTCTTTGGATATTGATTCGCGATCGATCACACTCGCTGTGTCTAGAAAACACTTTGCACCCTCCACGACGTGATTCAATGAACAATTCCCGCAAATTGCGTCGAGTTTTTTGCTAAATTCGCCTACATTCATCCCAGGCACGTTAAATTCCCATCCCTTCCTGCACTGGAATTGGCATTAATCTGCACACTCTCATTCGTTACTTGCACAACGTTTCGCCACATTAGAGCACATCATCCTCATCTCATCAGGGAGTATTGGTAAGCTTTCCTATCACTACAGGGTGTTTGCATGCGAGTCGAGGACGCTTTCGGACAGGTGAGCATTTTTCCAATTAATACTGGGAATGGATCACTTTGCATGTGTTCGGGTTTTCCAATTGTCTAATGCAAAAGCCCCAGATGAGTAACGATTGGAAACTTTTTCAGAAGGCGTAATTCCTCCAGCTTCCCCGCAAAAGCCGATCCAGCCCCCCAAAGACACCATGTTCGGTTACGCTAAGAATGAGCCGTATTACCACCCTCAGCCGAACTATTACTCCACCTTGCCGTCGAAGAAGACTCAGTATTTCTCCTACGACTTGCCGCCCGAGCGGAGCGTTACTCCAGATATTACCAGAGGCCTTGATAGAGCCTATAGAAACGAGCAACAGTTGCTGAGCATGGCGGAAATTGGCATCCCCGTGAGCGAGCTGAAGGAGGACATGTATGGGAGCGCTAGATCTCGAAGCCCCAGCTATAGATACGACCATTCGTCCCGAAGCCTCGCGCAGGAGGATTCATTGAAGATCTCCCCGATCGACCCCAGACACTCTGGGGGGTTCAAGTCGTCCACTCCTTCGCAAATGAGGGCGGCGGAAAACCTGGAAACCAGACTGCTGTCGCCCAAGAGAAGCACCATGTCCAACGAGGAGCTTTACGCAGTCATTCACAAGACCAAGAAGAAGCTGAATATTGAGGACGACCTCAATAGGACTTCGCCGCCCTTGTGCGGCCCCAGGGAACCCGACAGCAGCACCCCGAAGAAAGTGAGCGTTGAGACGGGGTACATCGGCTCAAGGCAAAGCTGGTCGCCCTCCAAAGGCGAATACATCGACTTTAACGCGGACATTGATAAATTCTCCCCCATAAATCAGTCGCGAACGCGACAGAGTTGGGCTTGCAACGACCGCAAGGGCTCTAAAAAGACTTCGACGTTGGACTTTAAGAAGCTGCTGCTGCAGAAAAGTTCCTCCTTGTCTGGGAACAAGAAGATATCGGCGGTGGAACAGCTGAAGCTCTCCAAACAGCAGATGCTGAAGGCTCCAGCTGCTAAATCCAACGATATGACCATTCTGGACTTGAGTGCTTCGCCTAGAAGCTTGGTGAATCGCAAAACTTTCAATAATCCTCCGGGCAGTCCGGAGCGCGGGACTGTTAAGCCAGTGCCAAAAATCCTGAGCCCGAGGTCGCAGTGGAGGTTCACGAACCCCCGAAGCGACGTGCTTTCTTCGACCATTATGGAGGACTGCAGGGAGGATGATACGAGCAGTAACGCCTCAAAAAGCTCCCTGGAGAAGCGCGTTAGAGACCTCACCGTCCAAAGCAGTCCAGCGCCAGGCAAAAAGCTAACTTCTTTGCCGGAAAGCAGCAAAAGCGAGCAGCTGAGGACGGTTGAGCAGAATCAGAGTACAAAATATATGTCTGTAAGCGAAAGAATGTCCGCTCAAAGAGTCAAGTTTTTTGACAATGCAAACCAAAATAACGAAAGTTCAAAAGTTAACAAACTACCACCCACTTTAGAGACTGCATTTTAATAGCCAAAAATAGCTTTAATCGAGAGGAGGCCTAAGGAGTCGATTCCGATTTTCCCAAGAGATTTTTTAAAACTTTTACAGTATTTTCATTGCGACAACGCATTATGAGTATATAGGGTGAGCTTTCTTCTATGCATAGGGGACACTTCACTATTCAGTCAAGGGTCTCTTTGGTGTTGCAAAGTCAAAGAAACAGAGATTATCGGGGTTTTTAGGCCTTCGAAAGCCTGTAAAAGTGCTGTTCATAAGTGAACTCTTGTGTGAGTATAAGAGATGCAATGAGATCGCTATGCATGAAAAGTCCTCACCCCATATTTATTGCTCAGTTACATTTGTTTGAAGGTATTTACGTGTGTAGAATCAGTAATCACACCCGCGTTTATTAATGTTTGAGTATTCGCTATGTTATTTTACTTAGAATTACTTGCTAGTTATATGGTTTCAGTATAGGCTTAAATACCGATAAGCACCAGAAAAAGCGATTTTTAAAAAGGTTGTTTCTAGTCTCTCACTTGTGTAAATCATGCCCTTCCCAGTGTACAAAGCATTTGCAATTGCCTAAGCGATTTTCCGAATTTCCATGCATTTCCATTGTAAGATATTTTCCGATTATTTATATTTAAATAGAAAGCCTAATATATTACATTTTGTACATAAATTATGAATAAAATCCCTTGAAAATATATGCCAGAATGTTTAGTGTAGCAGTTTCATTTAATACCTATCTAACAATTAGAGTGGTTCCATTAAACTTCTCACAAAACATGTAGTTATTTCGGCACAAGCGGCTGTCGCACCGGCCCCATAGGGCCCATGGGCCCCATTTGCATCATGCCCATCATGGGGGGCCGCATCCCCATCATAGGGGGCATGGGACCATGCGGCCCCATTACCATTGGAGGCATCGGCCCTCCAGGTCCCATAGCTGTAAGAGCAAATTATCAAAAACTGCTGCTGAAACAAAACCAGCACTCACCTCCAGGTGGCATCATTCCAGGGGCTTGTGGAGCACCGGGGCGTTGCCCCAATAGCTGAGCAGGAGGTGGAATGGCTACGCCGCCCTTCGCAGGTCCTGCAAACGGATTATTGGCTATTTTGCCTGCCTTGAAGGCTGCGGTGGTGGCGTCTATCAAATTCTGGGCCTGAAAACGGGTTGCATGCAAAACTGAACGTTCTGTAGTAGCGTGGGGCTCACCTGCTCCTCCATCCATTTCTGATAGTAAAATTTCACATTGTCTTTATGCTTTCGGCCTGTACAGTGGGTTTTTCGTACACTGGGCGAGTCGTGCGTTAAGTATGTATC